TTGTCAAGAAGAAACCAGCTTCTGATGCATTTTATAGTATCTTTATTTGATTGAGTCTAATCTGCTTGAAGAATGTAAAAGTTCTTACCATAGACTTGGAGGCAGGTTCTACCGATGAAGGAGCCTTCAGGGTAAGTGATAAACAGACAGTGATAGCATCCTTCATCCTGCTTCGTCACATTCCTGATGACTATGGAGCAGTTCTGTAGTCCAGTGTATTTAAACCCAAATTTCTCTGTAAAGCCATCATTCACTATCTGACCAAAGTGCTTGTTGTAGGTGGCGACATTTGTCTCCACATCATGTGAGATTTTCTGCCATGTGACCTGAAGGACGTCTTTAGGCTCCAAGAGCTGACAGCTGAATTCAGCATCTTCTCCCACTGCTGCCAGCACAGTCTGCTGTGTTTGGATCACTGCTGTTAGAGCTGCATGGAGAAAATAAATGAACGGTTAGATGTGAGAATGAGGAAATATTAGTCAGTGAAAGAAGCAGCTTTTCTTAGCTTTTCTTTTAACCCTTATCCTGACATGAAGTCAAATATTAACATGATAAAACAATCAGCATCAAAGAGAAACACTGGTTACTGTTTCCTACCTTTTGGAAGGACTCCACAGACAAAAAGTAGATAGACAAGCACACAAAATGTCATTGCTGTTATAAAGTGTCAAAGTTTGAGATGAACCCGAGAGCTCTGTGGATATAAAAAGATGTCAGGTTTGTATTGAATAAATATATGCATGTACTACACAGAATTTCGTGCAGACATGCAACACAATGACTGGCGAGTTTTAAAAACACAACTTCAATTAAAGAAGTTACTTCTGTTTTCATGGTTTTCTTTCTGCTTTTTCTCAGGGAAAAAAAGTTAAGTATAAAGTTTGAAATCAGAACGGCCACAAAAAAATGGAAGTGAAAATGTTGCTGTTTGCATTTCTCGCATTCCTCATCTGAATCAGATCCTCAAGACAAGATTACAAATAACAACACCTCCGCTTCGCTGGAGTCCTTATTTCAGTGTCTCTGCGAAGTTAAGATCTGGATGCCCTCAAATTTCTCGTGATCTTCTTGTGATCATCTTTGGACCAAGCTGCAATTCTAGCACCCCAGATCTCGACCTGCGCAGTTTAGCACCTTTTGTTAAACTGCATGCAATAAATTTTGGGGTTATACGAGATAGTAAGTTTACCTTTGAGAAACAAATTAACTCTGTTGTACAGTCGTCCTTTTTTTAAATTGAGGCTCTTATCCAAGGTGAAATCCTTTTTATCTTTTAAAAACCTAGAACAAGCAATTCACGCTTTTATCTTATCTCAACTGGACTACTATTCTCTATATGTAGGTGCTAGGCTGTCTTGTCTAGCACGGCTCCAGCTGGTCCAGAATGCTGCAGCTCGTCTCCTGACACGTTCAAAGAGACACAAGCATATTTCCCCAGTGCTCGCCTCACTTCGCTGGCTCCCAGTCCGCTTTAGAATTAAATACAACATTTTGTTGTTGACTTACAAAGCGCTGAACGGTCAGGCTCCAGAACATCTGTCTGACTTACTGCAGCCATATATACCCCCTAAGATCAAGTGATCTCTCGCTCTTGGTCACTTCTAAATCGAGGCTGGTCCACAGAGGTTACTGGGAATTTGTGGTTGTGGCGCCGAAAATGTGGAATGATTTACCTCCACATTAGAAAGGCCCCGACCATCATTCACTGACTTCTCACTGGCTTTCGACATCGCATGAGAGTTACCTGTCTGTCCACCTAATCATCTTTTATCAGGTATTTGTTATTGATGTTATTTGTTACTGTGTAATTTTTTTCCTTCTTTGTACAGGTCTTTGGTCAACATTTTGTTGTTATTATATGTGCTGTATAAATAAAGTGAAGTAAAAGTAAAACCTCAGTAAATAAGTTTTTAACAGGAATGCATGAAAAACAAATTCAAATAAAGTATTCATCCCATCAGGTATGAACTGGTTTTATCTGAACTGCACACACTCAGACACTCAAATGACAAACCTGGTTTTAAAGCCTGAGAAGATGAAATGTATTAATGTAAATCAAAATGCAATTTTTAATTAAGGGAGAGATTAATGGACAGTGTCCGTGTCAATGAATGCCATCGGGGTTTGTCAGAGATAATATTCTCATTTTGTAACTCTGTCACAGCGCATTACCTCCATTAGATAGTTGGAGGATCGAGGGTCTGCAGAATGACACACAGATTGTAAAATCTTCTGTGTATCGTTTCATCCCCTGCGAGGCGCCACAGTTTCATTCCTTCATTAACGCTCAGCTTGTAGTTTTTAACACTCTAATGCATAAGAGTCCTCTGATTGCAGCACATGTATGTAGATGTAACATGTTGCTGTCACTATATTAAAGGAGAGGAAAAGTTCAGCAGCTTCAAACTCAGTTTTCCTCTAAAGGTTACTTTGTTCCACATGACTTGTTTAAACCAGCAACATCATCAGTTCAGTTTTCCTGCTACTAACTTACAGGACTAAACAACAACAACACTATGAGTTTAGAATCTAATTTGGATTTTGTCTCCACTGCAGTTACATCTGCCATCATTTAGTTCATATGAAAACAATGTTAGTCTTAGATGTTCAAGTCTGAAGTCACAAAAATCTGCTGTTCCAGTTCCTCTGTAAAATGGACTAATATCACTAAATTATCCATTTATGACTGTTACATGCTGTTGTTGTGTGGCCATTGCCTTGAAATACGTGAAATATATTATTATTATATTAATGAAATAATTACGTATTTTAAATAAAGTTGGAAAATGCTTCAAACATTGATAAGAAGAATCCACACAACAAAATAAAATAAACAAACGAACATGTCACAACAAACAATTTGAGACAGGACAGCTTTACTGTCAGTGTGCGAGGACAAAGTTACAGCAAACATCCCTCCTGGAATGAGGCATGTGATTAGAAAAATATGAAAAGACATTATTTATCATCCAACAAAAGGTTTAAGATTTAACACTGTCAATTCTTCCAATATTTGTCTAATACTTCAAAAACAGAGCTGGCAGTAACACGATAACATATGACTTCAGGGAGTGGCATTGCATCTCTCTCTCTCTTGCACACACACACTCACACACACACACACACACACACACACACACACACACAC